CCACCTAACCACCCAACAAACCAACCAACCACCTAACCCAACCGCCCAACCACCTAACCCAACCACCTAACCACCCAACCACCCAACCAACCAAGCAACCAGCCACACAACCACCCATCCATCCGCTCAATCACCCAACCAACCACCTAACCCAACCGCCCAACCACTCAACCACCCATCTAACCAACCAACGTACTACTGTTCGTAAGTATTATTATTATGTTTTTTTTTTTTTTGCAGCCGCGAGACTCGACTCATTGTGTCCGTCGCTTATCGTACGCATTGTGTTGCCGTCATCTTTCGCAGTGTCCTCGGCCAGCTATTGAGACAGTTCATAATTGCCAGGTTCACTTATTCGACCTTGCGACATAACATGACCGACGTAGTTGTTGTTGTAAAAGAGGTTGTGGTTGGAGAGGAAATCGTCGTGAGAGAGACAGTGTGTGAGCGCGATACTGAAAACGAAAGAGACTTTGAACACTGGGAAGGGGTTGTCGCCACGAAAACATGTGTGTACTACACGTTCATCGATGACACCCTCGCTTTGAGGGTCGTGGCGGGGCTGGGTTACGACGACCATGATCGCCTTGATGAGGTTGTAATGCACGCAAAAAAAACTTTCGGATGTCGTTCCCGACGCCTGCGAACCCCCCGACTTCGATATGATTGGTCATTTGCTAAGATGCATCGTGTCAATCGTTGCGGTCGAGCATGTGCACCCAATGCATGGTATTTCTCCAAACTCGACAGGCCGCTGCAACGCCGTACTTTTCTCCACAGAGATGTGCGCACTGTGTTGCCAATGGACGGTTGCCGACAACAATACCAGAGTGTCAACGAACCGTCATCCCGGTCGTCTCATGCTTAGTCCGAAACAGATGGGTTGACTCACAAAATCGTAAAGGTTTTAAACATTCGACAATGTTCGAGACCTCGACTACCCGCTCATCCCATGTACATGTATAAAGTGTGTTCCCCCTCCCCGTGCGGTCCATGCACAACATCATGTTTGCGTGCTTCGTTGCTCGATCGTTAGGTTAATAACTTATGGTGTCGGTTTCATGTGAATTGCAACACTTTTTGAACGCGATACGAAAGAAGCGACGATGCATTGCGCGCCAATGATTGTCCAATGTTACCACACCACAAAACTGACAGGCGGCGACACCGTATACTATTACGAATCAATGACTCCAGTAACAAATCCTGTCGCCGATGCAGTGGGATACCACAATGGAGACAAGAAGATGGATCGTCATTTCGTTGTCAGCATCGAGGAGGAACGAGTCGTCAGGCTCACTACAGAGACTTATATTCGTGACCACGCCATCGAACACGTTCGTGTCCTAATGTCTAAGCCGACCACGTACTTCAGCACCTTTGTTCTCAAAGCGGTCGACGGTGATTTGATGTATGATATTGTCTTCCCCCTTGTGCATTGCATACTATACACACACTACGGGACGGTCACTCGGGACGGCATCTGACGCCTGGTCGTGTCACCGCCATATTTTGTCTCCGATGGGGAGAATTTCTTTGCCATGTTTTATCCTTGTAGTGCGATCCAGCGATGAGTACGATTCGTTTTTCTTTCCCTATGTTTCTTCGTTGTTGGAGAGAAAAAAAATGATGGTTTGAAATATTGTACATTTTGTGTATACATATGCAATCGTGATCTCCCATGTGTTTGTTATATATTTTGAGTTTTTTTTTTTTCGCCTGCTATGCGTTGTGAAATTTGTTTTCGTTTTCATTATGTGGAGGTACAGTACTAAGGTCATCGGTGCCCGTGATGTTGTGTTTTGTAGATTTCTACAAATTCACATATAAGCGACAGAACAATATTCACCCTTTCCCATACATGGACCACCGACGACGCAGGGCTGGCGTGCGGGCCGACGCAGTCGTGTTTGGAAATGAGACAGATACAGATCCTTTCCGTGACGAGGAGATGACAGTCGCCGAGATTAAGAGTCAGCGGCCGGGACCCGCAGCGCTTTTGGAGGAGGCTGTGACTTTTGCTGGGCTGGAGGATCATCTGCAATAGTGCATGAATCTGCTTATTGGTCGTGCAAATCTCGAACCAAAGCAAAATCGTTACAATGGATATGTCGTTTTTTCTCGGTTGTGCAGGTTCGTCGTTTTTCGACAGAGATTGCCAGACGAGTTCGAAACGGCAATGCGGGAACGATGGCCAGATACAATCATTCGAGGTTTTGAACTACGACAACGTGATTCTCCTGAAAACGCGCGCCCACGTCGACGTGCACGACGGTAAATGCTTCACGACACGAGAGGTAAATATATATATATATATATATATATATATATATATATATATATATATATATATATATATATAGAGAGAGAGAGAGAGAGAGAGAGAGAGAGAGAGAGAGAGAAAAAAAAAAAGTATGCTTGCCTTCAGTGTGAGTACGTATGTAAGTCCGACTGTGTGTTTGTATGGAAACTAACATTTCCTATTGTCGTGACTTGCAGGGATTGCGTTATGTAAAATTTGGTTTCCCTGATGTACATCATCTTCTTCTTCTTATAATCCTCGATCTCTCATTTGAAGTTCATTTATTTCATTTTGCAATTGTATGTCATTGTACCATTAGATGTGTGAAAAAACGATTCTAATGCTCACTCTCACCACTCAAGTTAAAAAAACTAACATAAGATACCATCAGATGTGTGAAAAAAAAAAAAAATATATATATATATATATATATATATATCACTTGGTTGTCTGACGATTTTTTTCCGGCACTCACACACAGACAATCTCAAACACGCCCACACATGCACACATGGGGGAGGTAAGACAATGACTCTCACTCTTCGACACACTCCCAACAAACAATCACAATAAAGAACCTTAGCAAGATCGCAATTCATATGATGCTGATGATGAACCAACTCGAACGAATATCATAATAGAGTTTGTTTCAGTCCCTTGCTCCCCAATCGATTTCCGTCAATCTACTAATAGAGTACATTAATCTAACCTACACCTATACCGGACAGACTAACCGACCAACACCGTTGCAGTTTCGGTCTATCGGCCTTTATCGAACCCGACCATAGGCTATAGAACCGTCTATCAGCTTAGGCCATTAGGGCCTGTCTGTCCTGGGGGTAGTCCGGGCCTGCTATTCACAGCAAGGGTACGTATAGGAAAATCGAAATACTGATGGGCCTATATTTTCCATTTTTACAGATATGGCCCTCACGAATTTTCCTCACAGGTTCGTCTCACGATTAGCCCTCAGTCGAACAAAATTACAAATGTAAGCATACGGGGTAGTATACAGTCTCGCCATCAGTCTTGGAAGTCAGACTGAGAAAAAATAAAGATATATATACAAGTAAAGAGACGGACGTAATATAGTGTAACAAACAAGACACCATGAGATGTGTGTGAACAACGCCATGCACAATGAAATTCTGATCACCAGACCGATATCATGTCAACGATAAAGCCATTCAACCAGTCAAACGCTGAACAACTCTATATCGTCACCCTCAGATTCAGAGCTCGATGTCTGGACCCAATCATCGCATGCAGGCACCGCATCGTCCTCCATGTGACCGATGATGAAAACACGGTTCTCCCCCACCGCCTCATGGTCGGAATCTGAGGCAGCATCATCAACGACTTCCACTGCGTCACCCCCACCGTTGACGAACAAATCACGCGGCAATGGCCCGGCTCCATAAAAACAAACCTCCTGCCGCAGAAGCTCTCGAGCCCAATCTGAAACATGAGCCGAACCGAACACTTACGCCGCCAATCTGTCCTCCCAACAGTCGATCGCCTCGTGACCGTAGTGTCGACGGAAGCCTGGTCTCGCACATATGGAAGTGCCCGCAGCAATGCGAGCAACATACCCGACCGGGTCACGCCAGCTGTGACTGTTCCACCGAATCACTGCGATCGACAAACGTGCACAGAAAGACTTCTCGAAATGCACCGACTTCTTCGCGTAGATAATGATGGTGCCCTGAAAAGTCTCCACCGCCGATGTGTGCCGAAACTCGACGTAGTACGGCGTGATGTTAGTGCTGCATTGTTTATCGAGAACACACAGATTGAGCTCGTACACCGTGTCCGTCCGGCTATACAAAGGCAATCGTGCACGCCCACCGGCCTTCTCACACAGAACCTCCCTACCGTTCACACATCCCGAATGATCACCAGCCCAATGATCGGCGACAACATGATGTCGTGGTATAGACTGTCGACGTCTCCGCCCTCGTCCCTGTACAGCTGGCAAGCGCGGAGGAACCACATCCCAACCTCATGCGCATGGTACTGTGTCAAGCCGTCTGGATCAGTCTCCAACGCTCGAGGATTCAACCTCGATCCGTACGGGTACATTTTTCGCATGACGACAGCGACGAAGTCCGATTTCTTCAGCCGCTCCTCAGCAGGTGTGAGGATGTCAGGTCCAAAACGCTGCTCCAACGCCTCCTTTAGCCGCTTCTTCGTGAACTGCATGAACTGAGCCTTTGATACACTTTCTTCACTTCCTTCAGTTGCAGCATATTGTGGAAGTGCTTTCGAATGTTTTTTATTTTGTGGTGGCAATCCTTCAGCCACTCGATGTTCATAGCTAGCAACTTCGGTCCCAGCGCCGCACAATCATCCGAGACAAAGCACCGGATCTTCAACCCCTTGTTCATCAACCCTCGCAAAAGTTGCACGACGGCTGGCACCTCAAGCGCATTTGATGCCTTGCCTTCAATCTTCGGACGGAGAGTGTGAACACCTACAACAAGCCGAGTCTCGTACTCCATCGCGGTGACAGTGCAATGCTGCTCGCCTCTGGCAGAGTCATATCGACCATCAACCATCAATGTCACTGGCTCACCCTGGCGCATCACAGTGTCAATGGCAAGCTCGCAATATTTTATGCCCTGCCGTACGACCTTGGCATTCCACCCCTCCGCCCCCCCCGGTTCTGTGCGCATAAACTTGTAGAATGTGGGTTTGTGCACCGAGCACATCCCTAAACGAACACGACAGTTATCGAGGAGCGTAAACGAAGGCCGACGGTGACCGTCGCATGAAACAGCTGCTGCATCAGTCGCGACTGATAGACGTTCGTGGTCACGAGTGTCGTGTGTCACGTCCATTTGCATTTCTTGTCGCATACGAACGTCAACTTACAGAGCTGCGCAGGATAGGAGACGGACTCCACAGACACACGACACGAGCCCTTGTGCCACGGGCAATAAAGAGGAAACATGGCGAGCAATTGAAGAAGCTTAACCGGCTCCAGAAACACAACATCCGGCGCCGTCGGTCCACTCCATCTAGCCATCGCCTCCTCAACACTGGCACGGTCATTTTCAGGCCCAGGACCGCACTGGTCAACACCGTCCCAACTATCCTACCACGTCAGCGTCCGGGCAGGTGTCGGTGTGCAACGACCCACGCTGCGGGGTCTGCCTCGCCCTCTGTTACTGCGCTGCGATGCACGACGCGATGACGGGAACGAGTTCTGCGATCCGTCATGAGACTCACCCAACCCTCCGCTCACAGAAGCCTGCAAACCCCCCTGACCGTAGTCAACACCGGAATCGCCTGGCATATAACGCAACGTGAAATCTCGACCACACACCCGAGATGGCAACGAAGAAGAAATCACATCTCCTACCTCGTCTCCAAACCCCGCTTGGATTGTTGGCAAGGACCAGTGCAGAAGCCGATCAATAACGTCGCTGACCGGTCCCCGTTGGTCACCCAGACCGTCCATAGCGTCGCGGAGAGCATACAACCGTCTCCGACACGCGTCCCGCACACACACTCGCACGATGCTGTTGTCGCCCGAACACGGCGTGTCGCCGACTGCCGCTGAGCTTTCCACATCGTCAAACGGAGGTGTGGATTCTTGAGCGACAAAGGGAGCCTGAGGCGGTACCGCAAACGAACCCGCCGCCGCGTCGACGACTCGTCGGCGTGAAACGGGTGGAAAACGCAAAGCGTCGCTGCGATCTCCTAGAAGAGAACCGCCTCCAGCGGGACATGGCTGGGCCACCGCATGTGACCATACAGGTGCTAAAGGAATCGTGGCCGCATAGTCCAGCCGTCTAGGCAGTAGTGGGGATGGCAGCAACAGAGCACCATACACACCTCCAAACGTGACCGCGTCATGAAACCCGGCCACACCCGGCGGAGATGCCCCCAACACACCGGCGAAAGGCAAAATGGGTGTCACGCCCAGGCCAACGACGCTGTCAGTCGCATGCGAAACGGTACCGTGGCGCCGTTTCCCCAACCGGACCTCCGGGCCACCGCTGTGCGGTGAAACACCCAACAACCCCCACGCTGCACATGGAGATCGATCGACGCTTTGGCGAGCATCGGGGGTCCCCTGCGGAGATCCCTCAATGGGCGATGATCGAGCGGGGACAGCGTCTCCGCCTGTCGGTGACATTGTCAATGTCAGGGTCTGCACAACACCGAGAGTTAGACAAGCACGAAGTAAGGAGTCAACGGAAATGTGTGTGCGTGAGTGTGCGTGTGTGTGTGTGTGTGTGTGGGTGTGTGTGTGTGTGTGTGTGTGTGTGTGTGTGTGTGTGTGTGTGTGTGTGTGTGTGTG